TGAAGTAACTGAGCAATGAATGATGCCTAGATTTAGACTGCGCGTCTCCCAGGGACCAATCCGGTTCGTTAGTGTGACGTCACTCAGTTTAAACCACGCCCACTGCCATTAAATTTCCAGCGCCTTGAGTACCTGATTGTTGGTAGACGGTGCGCTATATAAGACATTATTATTATTAAGTAGTAATGGAACCATTGGAATTGGAAGTTAACGCAACTTGAGTGTTTATCTGAAGTTCTGCATATAGCACTATCAAAATCTAGAAATGAAAGCCTAATTGATAAGCTTTCTTTTAGTACAAGAATCATTCAAAACACTCATGTACTTCTCAAGTTACGGAATTGTAATCACATAAACACAGTTTAAAAGTTCTGTCCACGGATCACAAAAAGTGTTCTTTCAGCAAAACGAAAACAATTCACATACATGTACATCCCTATGTGAAGTGTTTTCGATTTTCTGAAAGAACACTTACCTTTTTTTTGTGATCCGTGAACAGAACATTAAAACGGTGGTTGTGTTCAAAATTCCGTAACTTAAAAAGTACCTAAGTGATTTGAATGATTCTTGTACTGAAAGAGAGCTTGTTAATTGGGCTTTCATATCCTAGATTTTGAAAGTGCTACATGCAGAACTTTATTAAATAATTGGTCCTGCCATTTGGGTTTCGTTTTTTTACTCGCCCTGTAGTTGCCCGTTTCTAGTGGTATATGTGCACTATTGCCCTGCGTCGCGGTGAAGTAACTGGACGGAGTCTGTAGTATGTCCCCTCCTAGTCAGGATATTATAGCACTCTGGAATGCCCATCAACTGGGCAAACCGTCACAGGATTGCTTACAATTAACCACAAGAAGAGAACAGGAGGACGATCCCACGATATTAGTGGCTCGACCGGCACGACACCGCGAGCTACAGAAGACGAGTCCAAAGTAAACAGAGTTGACGTGGGCCGTGAAGTGCAGAGCAAAGCCCAGACTGACTCGTAATGAATTCTGTTGATGATGGCCAAAGGTTCTTCTGGATATACCTAGATTACAGATCGACTGCTCTCTGAGAGAGAGATACTACTTAAAGCAAGACACGAGATAGCAGATAAAGATATGAGCTAGTCTATCAAGAAGCGAAGATATCCATTGATTATTGAAGGGGTGTCAAAAAATAAACAAGACAACAAACTGACCAGAGGACGAACGAACATCCGTACTGGTTCAAAGCGAGGAAAAGAGGAAACATTAGTTAGATAAACCAACAAGCAAACATCATCAAAATACGCGAATCATTAAAATCATCTGTTGTAATCACAATTAGCAAGCTTTTTGTAATTTCTTTTTTACTGCAGGTGATTGAGTAGGCCGAGGCCTACCATACGTTGTTTGTTTGTTTGTTTGTTTGTTGTTGTTGTTTTTTTTGGGGGGGGAGAGTCGAATTTCTATTAATTTTGGGGAAGTTGCAACTCGAATATAACATGACACTACAAAATGACTACAAATACAATACAACAATACATTACAAATACAATACAACACAATGAAATATAATAAAAGCACATGGGATTACTGCATGATTGTAAAGCAATTATTATAAATATTGTACAACTAGCCTATTACAAAGAAACATGTACAGTTTGAAACGACATCGCTAAGAGACTTTCCTAAAAGTTGATCTGTTTATATAATGTTATATTCACCGCACTTAACAGTAGTAATATTCCAGGGAAAATGATTATGAAAACTCGGATCCAGTTCGGTTTCAGGGCTTTTAGGCGCGTAATTTAGCGGACCCCGGCTTCACACAGACTTAAAAGTTGCTGCAAAACTACGAAACCTTTTTTTTTTTTTTTCCCAAAAATCGAAGTTTTTATATTTTGTTTGAAACTACAAGGCTCCTAAATTAATCTGAAACAGACATGAAACAGACGCCGGGGACGTAGCAATGGTTCGAAAAATGAATTTTGTCCCCATGTCTTCCAAAAACAAATCATAAATTTATATTCTAATTGCCATTTACTGAATGATCATCAACTCGGCAAAACAATTACAAATGGACGACTTGGCATCTACTGTATGTACTAAGCCAAACCAATTAATTTCAGCCGTTTCCCTTATTACGATTGACTCGCCATCGTTCGTCATGTCTTCGCATTGTTCATTCCCAAACCAAATCGCAAGGGCAAACAGACGCGCTGTTTGTTTACGCGATCGTCTCATTCAGCTGGTGTATTTAGAAAGTGTCGAACACGTTTTTCTAATTGGGCACGACAATGCTCGTTATAACGACTTGCGTCGATTGTGACTCTATCAACGAAACCTTAGCTTTTTTCAATTATTGAATAGACCGCAATGTGGCTGCAGTTTACATTGCTGACATTAATACTTTTTAAAGGTGTACCGAACATGCTCTTAAACAACTGTGAAATTTTTCTCCTAAGGAAATTCCAATTTGTTTGTTTTACCTGAAACAGTAAAAGCCATTTTTATTTTAAATTCTGTCATTTAGGACTATCTGGGGGATCGGGGAAAGGCTTTAAATTTTGAGTGTTTTTGCGTGAAAACATTTAGGTCTGCCCTGCGAACAGACTGGGTCCCGGTCCCTCATTATCGATGCTGATAAGGGGCGGGAACCAGTCTAGCTTGCGAGAACTTAATTATTATCAGGCTTCAAATTACTCGCAATTTTCAAAGTTCGATTATTCCAAACTAACCCTGGAACGATTATTTTCGTTCGATGTCTCATTCAAAAAGCGAACTTTTGTAATGCTAGAACAAGCCTAATATAAAGCTGGTTATACAATGGCTAAGATTTAGCCCTTTCCATTGTATCATTGGGTAATCCTATACGATACAACTGCCCGGCCAAAGGTAACAGTCAGTCAGTCAGTCATTGACATAGATACAACTTTAACACTAAACTGCCCTTCTGGAACAAAGGGAACAAAAAAAAACAAAATATATGTCATGTCATTGCGATTGTAGTTCTGGACTGCATTTTGTTACATGTACATTTTGCAATTTGTCTTCTTTTCAAATCAAATACAAAAGAGAAAAATTCCCCTGTTTATCCTTGCCCTGAAATTCCTATCATTCTGGCTGTGATCATTCATGCATCACATTATAATGTCACGCAGTCCTGCACTGCACTAGAAACGTCATGCATAATATAGCATGCATACATCATATTGCAAATCAGCCGGCAACACGCGTTCATTTTGCATGTAATAAAAATGCAGGTAGGTAAACTGCATCTGTGTATATAGTATCTGATCTGATGGTTATAAAAACAAGCATAGGTCAACATTCTACGCTCAATTATTGTTTTCAGTTAAACCAGCAAAATTAGTCAACTTGATAATTTGCATTAAACATTGGTAGATATTCTTAGAAAGGTAAGGGATATTTTTGTATTGTTTTAGTTATTAACCATTATCATGAAGCCTCAAATTTCAAATTATTTTTTTTTCTTTCTATAATTTTCTTTACACACCCGAGCGAGTCATGGTTAAGTTTTGTTGCATTCATTACAATACACTGGAGATCAATTTACACAATATTGTTGGAACCAAAAAGTCAGCTAGTAAATTCCCGTAAAACTGTCAATTTTGTAAGACTTTTGTTGTTGTTGAGAATATCCTAAAAACAAAATTCACAATAAATTAAGACATTATGACATCGTGCTTTTTGTACACTGGGACGATAGCCACCAAGCTCCCATAGGAAACTGCGCATGTAAACAAAGACTGACGTCATTTTGTCTCAGGTCGAGTCTAGTCAGCCAATGTAGTTGCTATTTAAGTTGGCCTGTAAATGCCCTTTATAAAATAGCAACTAGATAATATTATGTAACAATGAAGACAAAATAAAATTTACACATTAAAAAGCTATAGGTCAAATACCGAATTCGATTGACAACGCTCCTAAAACTCGACGCTTGCTTTATTTGGTTATATATTTAGTCAAATAAATATTCCATAAGCATTTTGCCACACTGTGGTTGATACCAGAATAATGTGCATACATGCATGGTTGACGTACTAACTGCAAAATAGCTGCAAACAATGGACGAATTCAGAACAATCCTTTACGAAACTCCATTACAAAAGAGTTGTCTTTAGTCTTTTGTGTCTAATAACAAAAAATCCAGCTGGATCACGCTCTGTCATTATGAGGTCGAAATAGTACGATCACCCCTCGAAGCACTTCGCATTATTCTCACAGTTTTTTTTTAATTTGAATAGAAAATTGAAAAAAAAATACAATTAGGCATTGGCTGTTTCATCCCATGCAAACAGAACAGTTTAATAGAGTTGTTGCAAGTGCAATAAATTTGTGTCAATATTCCTTGTATATGGTTTTCTGAAATATTGAAATGTTTGCATCAGAGTATATTGTTCATTATTATGATTTTAAAGTTTATAATAAAATAATTCATTCCAACGTTCATTGCAGATAACATGTATTTCCAAATATTTATTCTTTAGCTGACATGCATTGCTTTTCCTGCCCAATATTGAGTTCAGCAAAATTATATATCATCGCAAATACATTTACTTAAAATGCATATTTTGTTTTTTGGATTTAGACCTACATCAATATCTAACAAATGCGCACATTCCTAATTTAAAGCTTCGTTCACCGAGTCTATTAAATATGTAGACAATTAAATGGCGTTTATTTTGGGCGACGAAATCCCCTCCACAAGATTTATAGTACTGTCACCCGAAGCCCTAAGCTCAAAATGAAAACATAAAAAGTCAAACAAGCGCTGAGAAAATACCGAAATTGGATCAGCGGTTTGGGAAGGTGAATCTATCCAGCAGGTTTACTGGGGATATTTTTTTTTTCAAAGGCGATTGTGAATTTCTGATCGCTTTAAAGCCATCCACGAAATGTTTTGTCAATACCATTATAAATTCCATTCATTTTGATCCCCTCAGGGAACGCGGTTGTGGACACCCCTACAGGGATGTTCCACCATTGCCGGAATTTCAGGATTTTTTTTTGTCTCCATCCGTGCGTCGTGTGGCATGTGAGCAATTTGCTGGGCGCTGCACAGCGCAGAGGCTGGACCCGCGGCCGCCGGATCAGCGTTGTAGAAGCTAGACGGTTTTTTTTTTATTTCGTGGCGATCGAAGCACGACTGAAGCATAATTCGTCAGACTACAGCCGCAAATATCTCCAGAGTGAGGGATCTGATATATTATGGGCAAGCGGTAGCACACCTATTGGAGATAAACCGTGCTCACGGAGACACTGCACCGAACGTGTGTTGCAGAACAGTCGTGTGGGCGGCAAATTGTCTTTTTCTACGCGATGCTAGTGGGTGGCAAAAATAAATTCGATGTAATGTGAGTGTGTGCGACAATTTGACTGTGTAATCACACCGCGCGCGCGTCGAAGTAGCAACGCGCCTTTGTTTTAATCGGCAAAATGGGCGCGTGACGCTTCCATCCCAAAACAGGACGCGCACGCAGCGCGTTTATTTGAAAGTAAAGCGTCACGAATCTTTAAACATCATCAGCGCGTCACTTGCAGATCACCAGCAACAGCTTCGGTTGTGTGTCTCTAGTCTACCTGCGAGCCAGTGACAGTACACTCACCGTTAAGAATCAGACGATGGAATGTACACTGACAGAGTTCAAACAAGCCTTTCCCAGTTATTGATGGCAAACAGAAGGCATTCCGACTGAGATGAGGACGGTCTCGTGCAGCATCAGCACGCCAGAGTTACACAACCTCATCTTTTCTTGAATTTCGAGCGACCGTCCCGGCAAGCAAGATGTCGGGAACTCCGTCGGAATCGGTGACTCTGGAAGTTGAGGAACCCTTGGCCGGTGAGAGGACGGGGCTTCGTGCATCGCCATCCCTGGACGATCAGCCCCAGAAATGGTTCCTCTCCCCCCACACCAACAGGATGCAGGTCTGGGACACCCTGGTCATAGTCAGTGCGGTCTTCTCCTTTAGCCTAGACCTCTTCATGTTCGCGTTTGACTCCAAACTCGTCGCACTTTGGGTCCTCACCTACGTTGGTGATGCATTTTTCATCACTGACATTTTTCTACGCTTCTTTCGCGGCTACATGAAGGACGGAATTCTGATCACGGACCGACATCGAATCAGGAGACACTACCTAAAGACCACATTCTGCTTGGATTTATACTCAGTTCTACCCTTGGATTTTATAGTTTTTGTAGAGCCCGGACTTGGTGCGGCAGGAATAATGAAGCAACTCGCACAATTTCGCTGGATAAATAGCTTCGTCAGATGCAGTCGACTCTTTTCATTTTTCGGTAAGTGCTCAAAGATTTGAAGAACAGAAATTAGAATAATTCCTAAGTAGGATTATTGTGTTGATATAGGCCTATAGGAGGGGCCTAGAACATGTAGAACTAACTGTAACGGGGAGTATTCGACCACATAAGGAAAACTGCCACTGCCTAGTGTAATGAGAGAGTCGGAGATCTTAACCATAATCACTTTATAACATGATCATGTACCTGTACTTGGGCCTAGGGCTACTTTGTTTTCAGCATAGCATCAATCCTAGTCTGTGCTTAAAGAGCGGTTGAATCTCTCCGCTCGAAAATAGGCCTACCCCCTCTTATAACCGCCTAGACCCAACAACTTAAACTTGAACTTGTGATCTAATAACATTAAGCACTAACACAGCGGTGGTGTAGTTACGGGCCCGCTTTCTCTTCGGTCCTTCAAGTGTTTTCATCATTCCAAAATGACGTCTGCAACCCGCGGCAGTCTTCTTTTAACTTTTTTCCAATGACCCAATCTCCTTTTTAAACACAGTCAAATTATACCGAAGACCAAACCGTGTTTCTATCGGCAAGAATGTTACTTACAGGCCTAGCTAGGCCCTTCTTCTCAATTTATTTAGTTTTAAATAATATACTTTTTAGGCCCTAGGCATATCTTTAATATCTTAAAAGAGGGGTCTTAGAACAGGCAACAAGATGAGTGCTTACATTTTTTTACATGGTGAGAAATCTAAGACCTATTATGCCATAGGCAGCTAGCCTTCAGCCATGCCAGCAGGCCTAAATAGTCACGACATGACTATAGATTGCTTGCACGGCAGCCATCTTTGAGCTGTGTTTTTGTTCAACAGGGATCTCTTGTGCATTCATTGTTAATGAATCAACATAAAACACACCTCGAATGTGACAGCTAAATGCAATCGATCCGCGTAAGAGCACACAAATCAACTAGAAGTCATTTTTATCTTATCGATCCTCTCTTATTCATCTTGAAAAGTATTACAAGGCCAAACACGAGGTTACACGGATACCACGTTGGAGCCAAACTTTAATAATTACGAAAGGAATTTGCATACTCAAGTGAAGCAAAGGCTTAAAAAAATTGACAGGTTTTCTTTACTTTCGTGAGGAATAGTACTCACAACACATAAATCGCGCCTATATACAACGCACCTATAAGAAAATTGAGTCAAACTTGATGGGCATACCGATTTCTTTTTGTTTACATTTTAGTTGTAAATAAAAGACCTATTTCAGGAGGATGCCATTTTTGATTGTGTCCCCTGAATGCTTTGTATAAATTTTAAACTGTTGAATGGGATGGTGCCAGACTAATACGCGCACCAAGCCTCACTTCCATTTTTTATTGTGGTTTGAAACATTACGGTATGTTAAATCACATTTTTTTAATTATTCATCAGAGCAAACTGGTGTTAATTCATTAATGATTCTATGTTTTTGATTTCATTTCTATTCGCAAGTTAAAAAAAAAATCAGATTTTACCTCGCTATCAATTCAATATGGCCGACTTGTGAATAACGCCTTTTGCTGTTCGGTTGTAGCTGTCTTAAAGCCTTAAAAAAACTCCAGAATGTTGTAAGGTTTCTCGCCAGCAAATATTCAGTTCTTGTGATATTTCAAGGCATGCACACGTGTGTGTAAAATACTCAAGTTAAATGTGTTCATCACAAACACAAACATTATTTTTTATTTCAATTTCATCTTAAGAAACGTCAGTTCCGTATTTTCGAAGTTGGTAGCATTTTGTCAGTTTTTAATGTTACATTGCTTCTATTGATGATTTCCCACCGTATTGGAATTCGAGTGAAACCGACAGGGGTGTCTTTCATAAAATATGATCGCGATCTTTTTACAGCCCTGTCAAAATTAATATCGTTTCGCCCACTTTGTGACCGATATTGGTTTCAGCTATAAATAGACAACCGCACAATGGTAAGAGGTCGCGCACAGAACGTGAGCACACATCGGTTGTGTATCTTGGCACGGCAAGCGTTCACTACCGTTCCATTAAATACTGCGCCTGTTACATTTTACTTCTAATGAAGGGCTTTTATTCCTAACAGAAAGGACTAGGCATTTTAGGAACAAGTAAAACTGTTGGACAAAAAGAATAAGCCAGCCAACAATGTGTTGACGGGAGCATCCTTAGTGGAGATTTGGTATTTTTAATTTGGCATCTTCACTGGCATTGAACGCAGACTGTTATTACAAATCTACTTAGATGCGCGAAAATAACGACCATGATTCCACTGTACTGCTGTCAATGCTAGTCAACTTGACTGCAAGATTCGTGTATTGACGTGGCTGGCAGCTGCTGCTTTGATTAAGATTAGGCGGCTGTTTAATGAAATTCTGCCTGCGATACTTTGTGTGCAGTTGTTTTACACTGCTGGCAGTGTATAACGGGGAAGGAATACTATTTAACTATCTTCGTGATATCAATATGATCGTCAGATCATCAGCACTATTGTTATCGTTTCTGTTATCATTGTTAGCACAATCAAGAAATGACTGGCAATTTGCCAACTCTATTACAACCATTCCCACCTCGATCGCCGATTATAATCTGACGTGCGATTATATTTCGCATACCAGTATTATTACCGCAGCGAATCTAAATAAAAGTGTATCCATATTAGTAGTACAGGACTGAGCAAATATTGTATCTTATGGTAGACAGTAGTATAATGCATACAAAAACAAATCCGCAGTTTCTCTTAGAAATCAAAATGAAATATTATGCTGTGGAATGCTATATTTTAGGGGTTTAGATATCCTTCTACAAGCATTTCACAAAATATGGATGCATAAATATTTGTGTTACGTGGTTCAGCAGTATTTCAGCGCCGAACTGTTTTAATAAAAGCGAAGAATTCTGATGATGAGGTGAATACATATTAAGGATAACAGTAATTAACAATATTAATTAACAGTTGATGATAAACAATCTGCTTATATTTACAACTGTTGTAATATTCTACAGGGCAGTTATAGCCTTCAGGGAAATTCTCTGCATAAATGCGGGTATTAATATACGCATACTGCATGCCGCTGCTACCAAATTAATCTCATATCGTCCTCAATCAAGGGCCACATTACCGCCTGGTGCGCGGGCAATGGCTGTATCTCCATAATAGCTCTCGGGCGGCGTCCTTTCAAATGCAGATGTTAATAGTAGATTTCGCCTGCAGGGAAACACGGCTATAACCAGATAGAATATGACCCTGGCGCTGATACAAATGCACCTGTAGTCTGGTACCAGGGTTTGAACAAGGTCCATACCGGGTCCTATACCGAATAAGGAAACATGACTGTTTTACATGCTGTGTTTTTATTGTACTGATAATTATTTTCTCTTCTGAGAAAATGAACACTTGAATGTAATCGGATATTATAACACGGGGTGAAAATAATGTAAACAAATATAAAATGATTAATTACTTAGAAGACAAAATATATTGAATCATGTTCAGCTTTGAATGGTATAATTAAACATTTTCGTCATGACGATCTGCTGTTCTTGGGGATTTTAAATGCATTTTAGTACACCAAAGAAAAAAACACTCTCTTTTGAGCCAAAAAATACAAAAATGTCAACTTGGGAAAAATTGCCGATAAACACTACGGGCTATATACCCAATTAAAATTACAATGTATATTTATTTCACCAATGCGATATGAACGCCAATTTGATTTTGAGGGTTTGACCATGGATCTATTTATTAAAAAAAAATAACTGTATGATTCTTTGAAATGTGTGTCGAGTTTTTCCGTACAATTATTTTAGGAGCAAGCGTTTTTAGTGTTTGCATTCCTTTTTTTTATTTTAATTTTATCGGCCTTTTAAGAATGATACTGCATTACTAATTTGCATTATGTAGATTTTATGAGAATGTATTCACGATACAGCTAGTTCTGCATAAATGTAATTGTTCATGTATGTGTGTGCAACATTCAGCGCCCGATTGTGACCAATTGCAAATTGCGCTATGCGGCGTTACCTTACATACCGCGGTTCCGCCGCAGCAGTTAAGTTGACTGTCGAATTATCAAGGGCCCTCGAGACAACACGGCCCATGTACATGGCGGCCCGTACCTATACCATGCACTTAGCTTTCCATGTACAGCCGGCGAACCACTACACAAAAAGCCCGACCGCTAATGACATTTTGCATCAAATACTTCAGACAAACATATGTTCCGAAAAGGGCAACATATGTACACTCAGTGACTTTCAGCTTATCGCGGCAGAACGTCGGTTTTTAACGAAATTACCTCGGAAGGCATACGGCATGCTCTTCCTTTGTGAAAAATCGATTGCATGGACGTGGTGTGTGTACAACCTTGATATAGGTCAACTTAGAAATTGTATAATTGATTGTTAGATGTAAGCGTTCCTATGCATGTGACTGCCTTATAAAATTTCCTTATGCGAATTTAATATCGTACCCTTTTAATTCATGAAATAAAATATTCAAGAAAATCAGCAGGGCAATTTGTTTAAATATCGATTTGTGTCTTTTTGTTATTGCCAAGCGGTTTAAAATAAAAAAGATGCGTTGCTTGCTTGACACTTCCTAAAATACACAATGGTTTCGAATGAACACCGAATGAAACCGAATGAAACCGAACGCAACCGACTCGAAACGAAAGAAGACAAGTACTAGATCACTACAGCCAAAATCTCACGCATTATTATATATTGAGCTTACATTTATAAACAGAAAGTAAATGAAATCAGTTTGAAACAGATTGAACAAACAATGTAGCTCTTCAATAATAAAATGACCACATTTCTAACATGTTTCTGTAAGCGAGTAACATAAACCCTCAGGCCCTATACACTTATTACATTTACGTAATATCTAGGCACCAATAATACATTTGCTTTCGAAGACATTCATGTTCAGTTCTTTCAAACATAGATTCATTTTCACTGTTTCATTCGTAAAAGTCCATTTTAAAACCAATTCCGAACAGAACCAATATGTAGCTCTATGACAGACGTGGAAGTTCATAGTTGTCATAAATAAA